CATATCATAAATACATAGTTTATGTAACACAGTAATTAAACTATTAAATTCAGCAATAAAAAATTGTAATTAGTTTTATTATTAGTTATTATATTGGAAAAAGATTTCAAGTTATTTCTAAATGATACTTTTTGAGAAAGTACACTAATAATATGAATTTAATAAAATTTAGGGCCACTAACTTGAAGTTATAATAATATAAATAATTAAATTAATAAAATTTAAAAGTCACCAACCTAAAGTTTGATTAATATAAATACAACATTAATAAAATTCAAGGTCACTTACCTAATTTTTTTAAGAGTAAATATCCTTTTTAGTCCCTGGCAATATTCACGAAGTCCTTTTCAGTTCCTAGCAATAAAAAAAGGGACAAATTGGTCCCTGAAATAACAAAAAAGAGGCCACGTTCACCCTTCCGTTAACTCCCACCTAACGGCCCAACTAACGGTGCACAGTTGGCACGTTAATTTGCTGACGCGGCTTGGATGTGGGATACCGTGGAAGACGAGACGATGACATTTTGGTACCTGTCAAAACCACGAGGGTCATTTTGGTCCCTGTCAAAATGCACGAAGACGTTTTTAGTCCCTGACAAAAAGCACGGGGCCCTTATTGGTCCCTAACCAGAGAAAAATAGGCACATGACTTCATTGCTTTTCTATGGAGTCCAATTTTGCAAAACAGAAGTGCATTACATCAGAAACAGGAGTGCAATCTAATTTTACAAAACATGAACATGACATTAAATTGGATTCGTATGCAGTCCAATTTGTTAAACCAGAAGATATGTATGTACAAGAACTACAACTACATATATTAGTTAAAAAACATCAAAAATGGTAAACTTAAACATTCATCAACTCTGTGAAACATAATAGCTGGAACATGATTTCAGTATCATTATATTTGAAGACGTGGATGTACAGTAGTGCATTACAAAATAAAGCCAACTGCCAGGAATTAAAAGAAAGTCCTCTAATACAATATGGCCAGAATTTACAAAAAAAACATTTACATAATAAGGCCTCCAAATACATAATGGCCAGAATTTTCAAAAATAGTCAGTCACATAATAATAAACCCTTCTCAGTTGGCTCATGCACTACTCTCAGGTCATATACAGCAGCAGGTCATTTTCTTGAGGCAGGCCTTGGTGGCCTAAAACCAGGTGTGCTCATGAAGGCCAAGAAGCAAAGCGTGTGGAAGAATGTTTGCGTGTAGTAGATACATGATATGACCTGGAAAGCACGGACACACAATTTTTTTTTAAATTTGCGTGTCGGACACGTGTCCGACACGGACACGTTCGGACACGCGTTCGACACTCGGTCAACATTTGGGGACAAGCGGTCAACTCTCCGACACGTTCCGACAAGTTTTTTCGACACGCAGTCAACTTTTTTCGACACGCGGTCAACGCTCGGACACGCTCGTACACGTTTTCAGACACATTTTTTTTGTTTAAATCTTAATTTTATTTTGTTAACTAAATATAAAAGAAATAATTTATAAATTAATTTTTTTCTATTATAAAATTTGACATGAAAAATTAACAAAATACGAAACATTATTTATATTTATATTTATGTTATGAAATTTAAATATTTGATTTGTTATATGATTTATTATGGACTCTTATATGTATTAAATACACATTATATTATATATATTAAAAATTTTATTTAATATCAAAATGTGTCCCAACGTGTCAAAATATGACATTTTTTAGAATTAACATGTCATCCCTCGCAATTAAATCTTGAAAAAATCCAAAAGAATTTCTAATAAAAAAAAAAAAATTGTCATTTTAGTGAAGCACGCAAAACAATTAGGAAAGCCACTTTGGACATTGCACAAAGGTTAACCTGCCTCTACAGTGTGGACCTTAATGCGAATGGCCAATTTAGCTATTATCTTTCAAAACGGTGGCTTCTAGCACACCTGTAATCCATAATGCATGTTTGATCTGATCCACCAAAGGGATAATGACTTTTCTTTTTTCTTTTTTTTTCCTTGCTAAAAAACGTTTGGTAAAGAAGATTTTTTTTACCAGAAAAAAAAAATTCTGAGAGTATAGTGTAATTTTTTTTTTCTGAATAAGTTACAAAAAGGTATTTAATAGGTCTAAATTTTTTTGAAGAATGATGTTATGAGAAAATAAAAATACCATATATCAAATGGTATTTTCATTTAAAATTTTGTAATTAAAATTGAAATGATGAAAAAAAATCCAGAAATATTTTCAATTTCCTCGTATCAAATATTGGAAAGAAAATTTACCTCATCCCATTTTTCTAAATTTCTAAAAAAATCTCGATATCAAACAGCCGCTTTAGTGTCAACATTTTCCCTTATCATATAGTAATTAGATATTATTATTTTTCAGTTGGATAATTATGATGTGAAAAGGAAACGCGTTAGATTGGTCATTATGTGATTGGCCCACGTCAAGCTTAGTGCTTTTCCATCGACATCATAGTTTAATTTGTAAATAATATCAGAAGCTATTGCATGGATTGTGACCCAAATAAGGATTCCTAATGAAATACGAATCGTGGAATGCGATATGTTATTGTACGTGATATAACGATCCATTTGCATTCAAATTAGACCGTGTAGACATCAATACTGGAATTGATCATAACCAGAAAAATCTAGATATATCACCAATAGATTATGTAGCACCGATATCGATACAGGACACGGGACACGATACGACACCACATTTCGACACGTTAATTCTAAAAAATGTTAGATTTTGACACGTTAAGACACGTTTTGATATTGAATAATTTTTTTAATTTATGTTGCGTTTATTATATTTATTATTCAATAATTTAACAAAAAAACATAAAGCTAAACTTATAATACTCATTAATTTTGTAAAGAAACATAAGATATTACAAATATTTATATTAAATTTAATAAAATGGTAATAGTAATCCAACGAATCTAATAATTAGAACTAAAAACGCAATGCAACATAACCTTTAAATCTTTTTTTGAATTTCAACAAGGCGCGTTGAAGTGTCGGAGAGTGTCGGAGTGTCAAAGGGTGTCAGATACGACACGTCAGAGTTTTTGAAGTATCGGTGCTTCATAACCAATAGACACCTACAGTTCTCCTACCAACATTTATTATCCTAATTAATTTTCTTCTTTTTCTATTGCATGCTGGGCCTATGCATGTTTTTGCTATATATGCCTCTTATTTTTCAATATATTAATATCTCAATTATTTATAAAAATATTAATTGATTAATGCTTATATAGATAAAATCTTAGGTCAGGTCTAACGAATAACAAAAGCCACCTTGATCTTATATATATATTAAAAAAAAACGCCACCTTGATCAGCATGCAATCTTGAATCTAAATTAGGTTTTGAACCGAAAGCCAACGATTAAAGTCATTACCTCATCCTTAGCCTTGCCGACAATCATAGTGAAATATTCTAGACGTTATTTTATTTTTATGCCTCTGAACTTAGTAACATTTATACACGGACGTTCCTTTTCTTAAGCAGGATCAAATGTGCTTCTAAAAAAAAATTAAAAGCACTTCCATTACTAATCAAATTTATACAAGTCGCTAATTTAGTTTGATTCTTTTGATAGCTAATGTGTAATTTTATCATGATTTATTCAGTCTTAAAAAGAAAAAAACGCATTGTCTCACCCTAAATTTTATTATTTTTCAAAAAATATAATAAAATCCGGATATGTGATATGTCTTTAGTCTCAAACTCATCCTTGCTCCAAACACGCTCTGTTATCTTCCAAAGTGGCACACGTCACCAGATGGTATGTCCACGTGTGAGGCCGGTGCTTAGGGACCCACAAGGCATTCCTTTGAGGCTTTCGGGCTCATGTACCATATCATCTAAGGTAAGGTGGTGTTTGGTTGGGAGCTTTTCAGCAGATATCTTTCTTTTTCAAGTATGGCTTTTAGAAATATCATATTTGTTTCAACGTTATTCACCAAAAACCCATCTATCTAATTTGTCTGGATTTATGAGAAACATAGATATCCGCACTGTTTAGAAACCTAATTTGAAGGTGGGATTTTTCGAAAAATCGGTTATCTGGCTTTTAATGCACTGTTGATTTCATAAAGTTACCTAATTTTTCCAGTAAAGTTTTTCCCCACCAAACAACTTTTTTTTACATTTTTCTACTTATCTCATTTTATTTATCTTTCCAATCATTTTTCTATCTATCTCATTTCCTTACTATTTCAAAAAAATTTCTTGAACCAAACTCCCCCTAAAATCAAAATCCTTACCCATTTATCCATAAACAAGTAAAAAATAAAAGAAGAAAAAAAGAAAAAAACAAATCAAATGATGGTAAGTTGGCATAGGAGAAATGAATAAGTGGGGTAAGAGATGAATAAGTGGGTTTAAAATCTTAATATTCAATCCTTTTCGAATAGATTTGGCTTCTGTAAACAATACATATGATTTATTAGAAAGGAAAAAAAAAGAAACAAAAAAAAAGGAGAAGGATAACATAAGAGTGCATTTTTTATGCACGGGGACCTTCAATTTTTATAGTATAAATGAGAGGATCAAAATGAAAAAAAAAAATACATGAATAAAAAAAAAAGTGATCTCCGGTAACGTGGATAGAACGCACCCTACCTCACCATCTACTAATCCGAATTTTTTATATAAAATATTAATTAATTACCAAATAAACCACCATCCCCTTTGACTTACACAATCATCTGAGTCAACTCACAGCTCACTAGGTTCAGAATCTCAACCACGTGCCACGAGTCGAGAAGATGGTCCAGTCAGCTTAACGAACCATTTTCAAAAGCATATTTTTAGTATAACAGTAATAGATATTACCTTACAAAAAAAAATAAGAATATAAAAGTAAATAATTATAAAGATAAAGATAATATAAACATATTTTATTTTTATATTTGATAAAAACTATATCCAGTGATCATACATACTGAAAATATTTTCTGTATCCAACCTATAAGAATTGAACTACCTTCGTAGTACAATAACCAAACATTCGGGAGATTCAGAAAAACAGAGTTCCCCTGTTTTTCCTCATTTGTTTCAAATTCAAAATGTCTCTTAAACCCTATCCACCATCAACAGATCGTCGTGCCCTATCATTTCCAGCAGTGCACCCTTGCGAAGCCATATCTCAAGCAACCCTCCTCGCCTCTTTAATCACTCTCTCACAAAACATATGCAATTTTCAATCAAATTCCTTCATCACACAACGAAGAAACGCCAAAGAAACAGCGCGCCAGATCACCATCCTTCTCTTATTCTTCCAAGAAATCCAAGGCAGTGGTTCAGTTATCCCAAACGACGTCGTTCTCTGCTTCTCAGAGCTCCACCTCACCTTCCAAAAAATCCACTTCTTAATGCAAGACTGTGCTCGCGAAGGTTCACGCCTTTGGATGCTGATGAAATCCCAATACGTCGCGGCACAGTTTCGGGTCCTCATTCGAGCCATGGCCACAGCTCTCGACGTGTTGCCCCTCCATACCGTTGAGGCATGCGGTGAGGTAAAAGAGTTAGTTGAGTTAGTTACCAAGCAAGCTAGGAAAGGCAAGTTCGAACTCGACCCAGACGATGAACGCCAAGTCAAACATGTTCATTCAGTTTTGGATAAGTTCGAAAGGGGAATCGAGCCTCACGTGGATACCATTAAGGGAATAATACTTGACTACCTTAAAATTACAAATTGGAGTGATTGTAACAAAGAAATCAAATTCCTAGAAGACCAAATAAGAGGTCTGGAGGATTACGATGAGCGAGAGGTTCCATTGTTGAGTAGCTTAATGGGGTTGTTATGTTATTGTAGAGGAGTCATATTCGAAACTCTTGATTTCCAATCCCTTAATGGTGCATGTGCAGGTGCAGGTGCAGAGGTTTTAAGCTGCGGAGTACCAGAAGATTTCCGTTGCCCAATTTCGCTCGAGCTAATGACGGATCCAGTGACTGTATCCACTGGACAAACATACAACCGAGCCTCAATTCAAAAATGGTTGAAAGCAGGAAACATGATATGCCCCAAAACATTGGAGAAGCTAACGACAACAGAGTTGTTACCAAACACAATGCTTAAAAAGCTTATCCAACAGTTCTGTTCAGATAACAACATCTCAATAACCAAGTCGAGTGATTGCAACCGTAACATAGCCAGGACCATCGAACCAGGTAGTCCCGCTTCAGCACATGCCATGCAGTTCCTGTCGTGGTTTCTTTCTCGTAGGCTAGTTTTTGGAACCGAGGAACAGAAAAAAAAAGCTGCTTTTGAGATTCGTTTGCTTGCAAGGTCCAACATTTTCAACAGGGCGTGCTTGGTTGAAATGGGCACGGTGCCACCACTGCTAGATCTTCTAGCTACGGATGATAGAACCACGCAAGAAAACGCAATCGCTGCTCTGATGAAGCTATCAAAGCATAACAGTGGCCAGAAAATTATTATGGATAGTAGGGGTTTGGCACCGATCCTTAAAGTTCTCAAAAGGGGGCATAGTCTAGAAGCTCGCCAAGTCGCAGGTGCTACAATATTTTATCTTTCTTCGGTGAAAGAGTACAGAAAAATTATAGGGGAAAACCCAGAGGCAATTCCTGCTTTAGTTGAAATGATCAAGGAAGGAACAACTTGTGGGAAAAAGAATGCAGTGGTTGCAATTTTTGGGCTGCTTTTATTTCCTAGGAATCACCCAAAGGTGCTTGAAGCTGGTGCTGTTCCTGCGCTTGTTGGTGTCTTAGCTTCTTCTGATAAAGCTGATCTTATCACCGATTGTTTAGCAGTTCTTGTAGCCTTGGCAGGGAGTGTTGAGGGAGCTAATGGTGTATTACAAGCCTCTGCTTTGCCATTGGTAACTGGGATTTTGCAATCTGCAACATCGCGTGCAGGGAAGGAACACTGTGTTTCAATTTTGCTATCCCTGTGTGTCAATGTTGGTGCTGATGTACTGGGTGTTTTAGCAAAGGACCCATCACTTATGCCTTTGCTTTATTCACTTCTTACGAATGGTACACCTCATGCTGCAAAGAAAGCACGCTCCCTCATCAAAGTTCTACAAGAATTCAACGAGAAAAAAACTTATGGATCGGTGGAGTCGTCTGTTTCGCCGCAAAGATTAGTTCACTTATCTTGAATTAGTTAGAAGCTTCTTCCGTTTTCTCCCTGTGAATATATATATATTATGTCATTAGCTCCTCTTAGGCTCTTACCACTTGACATTTATGAAATTAGCTCCACGTTTTTGTCCAACGAGCTGATTTCAATTGAGCAGCTTTTGCTGCACTGGAAACTTATGTATACTAATCACTGTTTTTATTTTTTTATTTCCTTTTTTCTAAAATCATAAAATATATGCACATTTGATTTTGAATTACCTGCTGATTCAGGTTTATCTATGGCGACCGAACCAAAAGCAGCCACCGAGGTGGTATTTGAATGTTCTTTGGGTATTAGAGACTTCTCATTAGATAATGTTCTTATACATGGTGTTGATCCTGTTTCTCATTAGTCATGGGCACATTTTATGGTGCAGATGATGGGATGCACTTAATTGCTTGGGTTTATTTTTATTTTCAATTGCTAATGGTGGTATTTGAATGTTCTTTGGGTATTAGAGACTTCTTGTTCAACTTGATTTGTTTGGGGTCTTAAAACTTGGAGCTTTGGCAATTCCACCCTTGTGCTAACGTATGCGTTGTTATGACTTGGGTATTTGAGCTCTAGGTGTTTTCTTGCCTGCAAAAGAAATGAAAACTATGCCTTGATAGTAAGCAAGTGTAAGACAGTAAGAACACAACATAAGGACATAATTCTTCTGTTCTTTCTTAAATAGCATATGCATAGAAGTTATTGAGTGCTTGTGATTGAACTGAATTCTTTCTAATTAGTTGGCATATGGCTTTAAACATTTGGCTGGCAACTTCTGCTATTTTGTCTTATCTTTATTTGGTTTTTTTTTATCACTACCATCGTCGCTGCCATCACGACCATCGCCATCATCACCCTCACCATTGTCGTAGCCACTGTTGTCACCACCACAACCATGCCATCCTCATCACCACTACCATCACCACGTCATCGCCACCAACACCATCCCACCATTATCACCGCAACCACTGCCGTCACCACCACCACCACCACCACCATCCCATCATCATCACCATCACTACCATTGTTACGCCATTGTCACTGCCACCACTACGTCGTTGCCACCACCATCATCGCCACCATTACTCCCACCATTATCGCAGCCACTGTCGTCACCATCACCACCATGCCATCATCACCACCACCACCATCACCACGCCACCGCTACCGACACCATGACCATAACCACCACCACCATTACCACCGCAGCCACCGTCGCTGCCGCCACCACCACTATGCCACAATCACTACTGCCACACTTTATGAAAAGGAAAGTGATGATCCGAAAAAAATTTATGTTTAATAGGAATAATTTTTTATCTGTTATTTGTTGTGTAATCAAACGCAATTCTGATTCTCGGAAAAAAAATATAATATGTTATCAAACACATTTTTTTTCTCAAAAATTGTTCTAAGGTACAAAAATAGAAAAGAATTGTTTCTTTTTAGATCCAGTTCCAGAACAGAATGTTTGTCATGCACACCCTTAGTTCCAAGGGTTTTGGAACTTACAATTCTGTCCTCAGATTAAAAGCACCTCAATCTTTTCCTAATGAAAAAAATAGGGTTTCAATTTTCTCATGCACTAAGAAAAAAATTGAGTAAACACCCTTTTTGGTCCCTAGCAATATTAGAGAAATCCATTTTAGTCCCTGACAATAAAAAATTACCAAATTGGTCCCTAATGTTATGAAAAAAGGGCCACGTTAGTCCTTCTGTCAACTCCTCCGTCACGGTCAAACTAACGGTGCCCATGTGGCACGTTATCTGCTGACGCGGACTCCACGGTTGACACGGTGGAAAGCTGGACGACGACGTTTTGAATCAAAAGGATTGCAAAGCTTTCCATGGAAAGCACGACGTCGTTTTACTTGAATCCAATTAATTGATAAAACCCAAATAATGAACCCTCAAATTGAAAAAAACCCAAATGCCTTCAATCGAACCCTAAACCGAAAACTCCATCCCCCAAATTGATGAGCAAATCTGTAAACAACAAAACGCCCCCAGAATGTTTGCACTTTGATGATTGAAACTCGACGAAAGACATTCAGCCATCAACCGAATTTCTGGGCGTGGGAGAAGATGAGTGTTTCTTCTGGCATCGGGGGGGTCAAGTGGGAGTAAATCAATGGGGGGAAGAACAATGGCAAGGACCACTGGTTGGAGGTACAAATGTGGGAGACAAAGTATTGTCTATACCTCCAAAACTGAGAGGAACCCAAACAGGGCTTTCCTTGGGTGTCCTAATTTCAAGGTACGAATTTGTAATCTGCCCCTTTATTGAGTTGGAACACTTGCTAACCATGGTGTTTATTTTTTTCAGGAGAAGAAGCCCTATTGTGATTTTTTTAGATGGGTAGATGACATGTGTAATGAACCCATGGAACTGGAAGAAGCAAGAATTCACATTGTGGAGTTGGATGTTGCTGAAATGAACTTCAAGTTGAAGTATGTGGAGATGATGATGAGACAGCAAGATGTGAAGATTACTGAGCAAGGAATGAAGCTTCATCAGCAGGATAGAAAACTGAATGATGTATACCTGAAGTTGGTGGGGGAGTTACATAGGATGGACAAAAAAATTAGGACAGTTGATAGGTCAGCTAGGGTCTTAGGTGCTTGTGTTGCTGTGATAATGATCTGTATGTTTGTTGTTAGTGTGGTAAAAGTGAAAACAAGTGACCCAAATGTATTTTTCCTTCAGTGAATTGTAATGAGTACTCCTTCTTTATGTTATTCAAATTATTTGTTAGTTCCAATCTGTTTGTGTGTATTATCATATGGCCTAATTAGATTGCTACTGATAGAGATGCATAACTCATGAATTGCACATACAGAAGTTGCATACTGATATGCATAATGTTGTTACCGATTGCAAAACACAAGGGCCATTTAGGTCCCTGACAATGTTACTCGAGGCACATTATGGTCCCTGACAAAATGCACAGTGGACTTAATGGTCCCTAACTTATTGCATAGTTATGCATGGAATGAATAAGCCATGTACAGATATAGATGCATAAATCATGAAATTGCTGTTATAGAAGTTCTATATTTAAAAGGGCCATATTTGTGCACCAGGGCAAAATAAATACTACCATTTTGGCCCCTGACAAATTGCACGAGGACCATTTTGGTCCCTAACAAAATGCACGGGCCCCTTATTGGTCCCCAAACAGATCAAAATAGTCACATTTCAAAACAGATGTTGTCCAGTACAAGTTCAAAAGAGAAGACAGATTTCAGTTACAGATGTTGTCCAATATGTCCAAACATAGGACAAAATTAAAAAAAAGTCCAAAATTAAACATTGTAACAACCCTGCATCATTCATCAGCCATCAACCAAAATAAATGGCACTTAACATGCATGTATAGAATATAACCAGTATCCACAATAATTGTCTTCCTAGAACTACAAAACAGTAGTGCATTACAAATAAAAGCCAACTAATAGGAATCATAAGTGAGGCCTATAAATACAATCTTGGCATGCATCAGAATGATTACATTATATCTGTAAAAGGCCTCCAAAAAAAATGGCCAGAATTTACAAAAAAAGGGCATTATATCCACTCATTTTCAGTTGGCTCATGCACTACTCCCTTGTTCTTCTTCATCAGCAGCTCATTTTCTTGAGGATCGCCTTGGTGGCATGAAACCAGGTGTTGTCATGAAGTGCATAAATCTGCTTCGTGTGTAAGTGCTGGCTGCCTTCATTGTCTCTTCAGTCAACACTGCATTTGCTTCTTCTGGATTTGAAGGAGGTGGGTTGCATCCTCTCAAGTTGACTTGTTGTGCCTGAGAACTACCAATTTCTGACGAGCCTCCTTGACTTAATGGGATTTCATTTACTGAGTCTGTGCCAATCCTCACAGATTGTGGTCTTCTTGGCTCTTATCTGTTTTAGAAGCTGGTGGCCCCTTACAACTCTTGCCATAGTGTCCAGTCTGACCACACTTACTACACTTGGCTTCATATGTCCTTTTAACTTTCTTTGTCATGCTCCCTTGGTCTTCAGTTGGGTCCTTCTTCCTGTGTTTTTGGGACGCCCAATTGGCCTTTTCAGTTTTGGTGGAAGAGGTTTGGGTTCATCAGATGCAGGCCAATACTTGTCCGAGTTAACTGGGTTTAAGGTGTGCTTATATGTGGCATGCAATGCATCCACTGTAAGCCATTGATGGACATAGTTCTCGGCTGGCTCATTTTTGTGACAAATTGTTGCTATAGCATACTCACAAGGCAGTCCAGTCAACTGCCATACATTGCATGCACATGTATGTGTTGTTAAATTGACTCCAACTCTATCACCTTTCCCACTGACCTCATACATATCTTGCTGCAGATTTCCAGTCCAAGTGGGTGTCCATGAATTGCTAAGAACCTTTAACTGATCCAGTTTCAATTGCTGAGCAGGAGCTATTTTACCCCGAACAGTTCTTAACACCCTATGATGTGCAGCCATCCTCCTCATAATGTAGCATCTATGTTCCTCCAATAGAGTGATAATCGGTTTTGACCTATATCCAACGATCTTGGCATTCCACACCTCTGCCATGTTGTTTGTGATATTATCACATTTCGGCCAGTGGATGAAATAAGCTTTCACCCAACTTGAGGGCTGGATGCCATCCAAGTACTTCCATTCAGCCTCATTCTTTACTTTCAACCGTGCCATGCATTGCTGGAACTGGGGGACAGTGGTGCATCTTGAACACTCCCAAACCATGGCTCGAATTGCCTTGTCTTTCCATTGCTTTATGAAATTCTTCCAAACGTGCTGCACACAAAAACGATGATATGCACCAGGCATCACCTCTTGCAGTGCTGGAATCAGCCCCTACACAAAAACGATGATATGCACCAAGCATCACCTCATTCTTCAACCTGCTTTTTTTTCTTCCTTTTTTGCTTTTTTTTTTGGACAGCTTTACTCTTCCCCTTGCACTCCTCTTCACTCTCTGTTTCTGTATCATACATAGGTGGAGGAGGTTTATATGCCTCATCCTCCACACTATCTTCTGAGTCAGTAGAAAACCCATGACCACTGCCACTATCATCCTCATCACCATCACTGCCACCCTCATCCTCCAATCCTTCACCACTGCCACCCTCATCCTCCTCTCCACCACTGCCACCCTCATCCTCCTTCCCACCACTGCCACCCTCATGTGCATGTGCAATAACTTATTCCGGTGAAACATAGACAGGGGTTGCAATGCAA